ATTATTCTCTCACATATAGAATGTTAAAACAGGAGTTTTAACCAAAATATCAAGATTCTGTAGATACTGCATTACTAAAGAAGTGTAAAGTGACATAGAGGTTTTGAACTCAAGTTTTTTATTATGAGTTACCAGCTCTTAAGCCATCATCCTTATCGTTTGTGAAAAAATATAGAGTTGAATTTTTTGTTAGAAATAAAATGTTGAATTTATTTTAAGAAGAATCGTCACCCATTTGGGCCTTTTTTGCAGGCAAAAATGTTGCACCAGAGCAGTATATGCTTTCCACTGTTTCTTCTCTTTTCCCTACCCCCACATTTCTTGTTCTGACTTGTGTGTGTGTGTGTGTGTGTGTGTTTCTGTGTGTGTGTGTGTTCACTCATATTTTCTGCCTTGTGGGTTGGATATATAATATACCTGGAAGGAAGGTCAGGAGAGCAGGACCATTCTACAAAACAGATACCTGCACACACATGTTTGTTGTAGCTCTATTCACAATAGTAAAATCATGGAACCAACCATGCTGCCCTTCGAAGCATTTTTTTAACATGTGATACATTGTGTTCTCACTCATACGCAGGCCTTGAACAATTATCATAATACTATAAGAAAGGGATTAGCAGTAATGGAAAACTGCCAAGGGAAGGGGGTGGGATTGGCAGTTGAGGAAAACTGCCAAGGGAGGGAAGGGAACACCTCATCAACAAGGGTACCTGCATAATGAACATTTATATACCTAACTCTGAATTGTACCCTACATCTTTTAAATAAAAAATAAATAAATAAAATAGAGTGTCAACAACAATAACAAAGAAAGGAGAACTGAACGATGCCACTTTATGTTGTCCTGTTGGACTGATCTGGCTTAGTTTACCTGCATTTGACAATGTAATAAACTTGACTCAATTCATTGCAATACTTATGCTAGTCTCTATCACTTCAAGGCCAAAACCGACATTGCTCGCTGTTCGAGCACTCCAGCATTATTATCCTTTTTGACAGGGATCTTGCAACCACAACCAAATACTTGGTAGCACAAGGAATGAAAAGTTTTTATGTATTAATCAGCATTCCCTAAACAACCTTGTACTTTTATGAGCAATGCACTATAAATGACCTCTTCTCACATTTCTATATGTCCTGGTCCTATTTATTTTTCCTTGCCTAATTCAAAGGTTTATTTCACTAGCAAAAGGAACAGCAGGTGCATGCTAGGTAAAGTGTAGAGTCATCAGTTCATAGTTAGATATTTCAAGAAGCGTCTACATACACACTTACTAATGAGATCTTCTCCCTCTCGGCTCCCCATCACAATATCTGCATTCTAGGAGGAGCCCGAACGATTGTAGCAATGTGTCAGGCATGTGTGAGGAGATCTTTTCTTCCATACTCTACTGCAGTTCCTAGAGGACAGCAGTGAAATCCCATCTGTAGTTATAGCTGGCATTGAGGTGTTGACACTATTGGTGCCTAATACCTGCCAGACCATCATAAAAAGGAGTATCACAGCAATATCTTTGAATTCCAGTTAACTGCCACACAACTGAGAAGAGTATATGCTTGCTATAATTATAGTCACTTTGTAGAGACATGACCTTCTCAGGTTGCCTGAATCACAACAGTAGTTATCGTCAGTCCATAGTAATGGTAAAGTCAAACCTTATCACTTTCAATGGAGAATGCATAACTGAACACAAATGGCATAAGATTCAGACTGGGACAATTTCATGACCTCACAATCTTCTTGGGTTGCCTAGATTGGGCAAGTGACCCACAATGGCCATGTAGTCACCTTGAGAATCCAGGTCCAGTATTCTTCCCATTTCAGCACTCATAGATTTTCCATCCCTGCATAACCCAGGCTTTTCTGATGCTGAGTTGGGTTTGGCTGGAGGCAAGGGCTTCCTCGGCTGCAGCATAGAGTATTGGGAGTAGGCAGTGGCACAATTCCTGTGGTGTAAGCAGCTGCTGGACTCTCTAATGCTTCGATAAATTGTGCATTGGTGTGATGTCAGACTGTAGACTGGGGACTCTGTGCACTCGTGCGCAGGTATACTAGTTGGTGGATGGCCATGAAGGCTCAGCATTTATTTGGTATCCATCAATATACTTACTTGATGAAAAGGACAAGATTGGTTATATAGATGGAGTCTATTAGCCGGAGATGCGTTTAAAATGTGTTCACTGTTATATATAATTTGCACAATGCCTATCAATTAGGTGTAAATGTTTGTTAAACTCATGCATAAATAAGCAATCTTGAATGACAGCTCCCAAAAACTGTCATATCTTTTCTCTGTTTATCTCTTTTCTCTGTTTATAAAGTTAATGTCTGGATTTCCTGCACACTCCTCCTTAGTATGTAACTGAGAGGAAAATCCATCACTGAACTGGACTTGAAAAGAAGGGAGCTCATCAGCATAATCATGCAATCCCCCACCCACCTTCTTCTCCCCAGAGACAGTGAGCAATTGTCCTCTGAAGTGGGAGGTGCTTGCTGGAGCTCCAGTGAGACCTGATGACTGAGCCTCTCTCTGCAAGATGCTGAGATTTGCAGGAGGGAGTTGCTTGAGAAAAATAGTTTCTGAGCATCGTCTAACTTCCAGGTTTAGTCCACTGCACTGTGAATTCACAGACAAGACCTCTGCTCCATAAGATCTCACCATGTGATGGAAGGAGACAAGACAAATCATTCGGGTACATGTGCTGTACGTCATGTAATAGACAAATGTAATAGAGGAATGCTCATCCAAGTGAGTTCAGTTAGGGCTTCAGGGGCTGATCATAAGCCTCCAGAAGCTCTACATTTACTTGCAGCCAACACGAAGAATATGTCACTGATATCAAAATAACTTGTTGCCCACGTGAGGGTCAACAGTCTTGGATTCCATAGCCAGGTGAAAATTATCTATTGTACTCCTCATGATGGACAAAATCCTCATCCAAAGCTGTACAGTTGAAGATATCACAGACTCCCAGGACTAACTTTCTTAATAACTTGGTGTGAACTGATGACACCACGTCAAAGTACCTTACCAGGTGCACCAGCTGCAAGCACTGTCTTCCTTCCTCGTCCCACCTGTGGGAAGCCCTCACATACAGCCAAGTCCTTCTGGGGAATTTTGGAAATCCAAGGTGTATGCATAGGGACAAACTCGCAGAGTGCTGGATCTGGAAGAGGATTAGATCTGAACTCAGGGAGACTTAGTTCTGTGTGCACACTGTGATATAAGTAGATCAATATATTTGGTTGGGAAATTTGAAAATTATAGATTTACCATTTCATGACTACTTTTTTTCCTTTGTTTTATCTTATTCTACAAATGTGAGATATAAGTTAGGATCAGGTATATAAGTGGTATACAGGGAGGTGATGTTTTGTCATCTCCCTGGACCTCCCTTCCCCCTGTGTAGAATTGGGGATTTATCCTAAGTGTTGTTGTGGACCTCACCCCTCTCCCAGCATGTCCCGCTACTGTCATGGCTAGGTTGTACTATCTTCAGAATACTCCGTTTATTTGCCACCTCGCCTCTGTGGGGATCGATCTGAGTGACTGTCTCACTGCTTGTGAGCAGTGCAGAGTTCACTTTGTTCTCACAATTTCTTATGCTGGCCCCTTCTATCTGCTTGGTTCTCTGTGGAAAGAGAATTCATGGCAGAGAAGAGTCCTGAACTCTGCACTGACACTCTTTTTTAAAATTAATAATCTTGAAAATTGTGGCCAAATGTACATTGCATGCATTTTATTCTTTCACTATCTTAAATGTATAATTCAGTGGCACTAAGAATATTTACAATAAGGTGTAACCAGGACCAATATCTGCTTTAATAACTTTTTATTATATGAAACAGAAATTCTTTACCATGAAACAATAACCATACAGTCTCCTCATCCCTAAACCTACATGTTTTCTAGGTTTGAAGATCTTATAAAACTTGAACTTAACAGCATTGTTCTTTTGTATCTGCCTTATTTCACTTAGCACTTGTTCTCAATTTTCATTCTTGTTGTATCATGTATCAGAATTCTGTATCAAATCTAAGTGGTTATATACATACTGTAATTAACACTGTCATGGAAAAAGTCATAGGATTTCACTCTTGTTTCCCATGGTGATTGGCCGTAACCCTAACTAACATAGAGTGAGAACAATTTGTATAAGACAGTATGTGTTGAGAGGTATACAATTAAGGAATCTGGAAGCTAAAACTGATGGTTTTCAAACTAATTTCCATTTTGAAACCAACACTGGGGTTGCCAATGGCCAAACTGGCACTGGTGGGACATATGTTTTTACTTTACTCTGGTCCATGGTCCAGGAAATAACCAATTCTCATGGGTAAGGGACCATAATTTTCTTTATTAAAAATTAAGTTCAACTTGTCACCATACCATGGACAAATGACAGTAGAGGATTTTTCATAAAATCTGTTTCCTAGAAAGTTTTTTTTTTTAAGACAAAGAGTCTGCGTTTAAGAACATCATTTTTCCCAATCCCAGAAAACTCAATGAAGTTTAGAGGTAGCAAAACTCATAAATTCAGAACTGAGCTTCCCACTTGCAGCAATGTCCCCATTCTCAGGATGAAACTTGCTTTTCGGGGAAACTCACTCTGAGAGATAAATAAGGCATCTTCCTTTTGGTACTGTCAGGTAGAAAACAATTCTAAAGAAGAGTTTTATGCACCTGAGGATTCTTGACATTAAAATGAAAACTGCTGAGAAAGAGTTTACAATAAGAGAGATTCAGAGGAAGAAAACATGAGAAATTTATTGGTGATGTCAAGAAGGATGGAAACACTGCACTTTCAGACTAATGCTTTCTCTGTGTAAAACTAGAAAAGCCAGGTGAAAAATAAATCTATTTGAAGACATTTGGGAAACCCTGAAGCATTTCAGAGGCACAAGGCCAAGAAAAATGCATATAATTCCCAAAGGTGGCAAGGCAGTGTTGACTCTCAAGGTCACATGTTGCGAACAGGGCAGAAGCTCTTCCTCACTACCCCAGGTTGCTTCTTGACCTCTCCAGGGATTCCCGAGGAAGACTGACTCCACATCCATCCACCTCAAAAGTGTCCTGCAGAGCCCTCTGGAGAACCAGCTTGAGGGTCTTCTTATTTTGACACTGCTTAGAGGAGCCCACAAAGAAGTAAATGATGGGGTTGGCGCTGCTGTTAACAGCGGACAGGATAAATGAAACCTCAAAAAAATGGCAAGTGAAGGCATCAACCTTCTTCTGAATCCAGAATACTAAAAACCATTTGATGCCTGCAGGCAGACCACAGAGGAGGAAGACCAGCACTGCCAGCAAGATGGTCACATACAGCCTGGTCAGCTGCATCTTTCGGGGACTACAGAGAATCCTGAGCAGCAGTGCCAGGCTGGACCCAGAAAGAACCACAAATAAAAACAATAGCCAAGAGCCAGAGAGGAAATCAGTCGTCTGACACCAACTATGGTCACCCATGCCCAAAAATGGAAAGGCACAATAGTACCCTCCCAGGATGCTCAGCAGCAGAGACAGTGCCCAGAGCAGGGCACACACGACTGCTGACATGTGTCTTGGTCGTCGGCAGCGGTACCAGATGGGCCACAGGACAGACAAGCAGCGCTCGGTGCTGATGGTGCTCAGTATACTCAGGCCTGCAAGGTAGGGAAAGACTATCACAGGGTTGAATATGCTGTAGACCAAATCGAAGTTGCTAGTAAGTTGTAAAAGGGAACGTATCATTTGACCACAGAGGAAGAGGAAGTCAGCCGCGGCCAGGTTGAGGACGTAGGTGGAGAAGGCGTTCCTGCGCATGCAGAAGCCCAGGAGCCAGAGCACAATCCCGTTTCCTGCCAGCCCCACCAGGGCAATGATGAGCATCAGCAGGATTTCTATCTGGTTCTGCACGTCACAGGATGGAGAAGGGATCCTCAGGGCAGTTTCGTTTATTTGTGTGAGTTCTGTTTCCCAACGTGGGATGGTTGGATCCATGCTTGGAAAAACTCTTCTGTTGGCCCTGGGAACACAAACAAGATTTGAGCACCAGCTGTATGATCTCTGATTCTCACCCTTACCCCACAATGTAAGACAGAAGTGCTGTCTCCATTTCATAGAGAAGGAAACAGAGGCTTGCAAGAATAAGAAACTTATGAAAAAGTGGGGAGTCCTCAAATCTGGTTTCAAACCAGTTCTTGCTGACTCTAAAGACTGGGCTCTCTCTATTACAACAAGGTCCTCTACTGACATAGGAACATTCTGTGATGGAAACACCTCCACTCCACAGGCTGGGGCTGTGGTCCAAATCCTTTCTCTGCCCTAGGGCAGAAATATTCTGCCAGGTACAGGACTTAAGAAAGACACAGGTATGATAGTGACACCCCAAGCTAAGAGTGGTCATCTAAGGAGGAGAGAAAAGACCAAACATCAGTAATGAGAAAATGTGAGCTTTTGCTAGGATAAGTGTGATAATGACTGGGCCTGGGAGATAGATATGGCTCAGTGTGTCAGCCATTGAAGACTGGAGCACCTTTCACATCTACATTGGCTAGCTCTGTGTGAGGTACACTGTGTTCTCAATAGACATTTATTCAATGGTTAAATGTATGCATACATGAGGAGCCTAATGGTACTGGCAGATTTGGGTGTAATGAAAAATTAAAAAGAAAACACAAAGGCATTAGAACACACACATATCATCATAATTCTGCTTGTGGACAGAGCTATGTGTTAAAAAGAATTAATTATGTGTGCCCAAACAACTGAAGTTGATTCTGATGAGCCTTTGAAGAAAGAACCTAGTATGACCTTCCTGAGAGCTAGAAGCATTGTGGCACAGGGTGTTGGGGTAGGGCGTTGGCCTAAGCTAAACAGCTCATCAGTATAAAGGAGGAAGGAGAAAGCATTGGTGAGGTCTGAGTGTCGCTGAAGGTGTTTGAAGCATGAAAACATCCATGGAGGACTGCTAAGTGTTGTGTGGGGTGTGTGCAATATGCACCTACTTTATGCCCTCTCCCAGGAGATCTTTGATAGAGTTTCCTTTACTGATTAAGGCTTTCATATGAGAGGAGTCCCTGTGGGAAAGTAGAAAAAGTGCAAGGCTTGGAATGTAAAGAGAGATATCCATACTGATTCCAACCGGAGAAAGAGGAATAGCTCCCATCTGGTTGGATAATATCAGCTGATTAAGAGATTATTAGGCATGGTATTTTTTATCCTCTCTGAAATCTAGGAGGTAAAAATTGGTCTTATTCCCATTTCACAGAGGATAGATAGAAGCACAAAAGGATGCATCATTATCCCTTGGTCTGTCACAATGTGGTTGAACCAGCTAGGCTGCCTCAGCATCGCCCCTTTTACCAACCCATTGGACCCAGCACCACTGTGTGCTAAGTATACATAATTAAGGAGGAAAACGAAGGCGTAATTCTCACATTAACTCTAAATTGGCAGTCAAAATTGAGGGTTGAAAAAAACTCAACCTGCCGGGCTCGGTGGCTCAGCCTGTAATCCTGCGCCTTTGGGAGGCTGAGGTAAGTGAATTGCCTGAGCCCGCGAGTTCAAGACCCACCTGGCCAGCGAGACTTCATCTCTACAATAAATGAAAAAATCAGTCAGGCGTGTTAGCGCATGCCTGTAGTTCTGGTTACTTGGAAGGCTGAAGCGGAAGATCGCCGAAGCCCAGCAGATCGAGGCTGCGATGGCCAGGAGCGGCCATTGAACTCCAGTCTGGGCGACAGATTGAGACTCCAACTCAAAGAAAAAAATTCAACCTAAACAAACTCTACAGAGGTCGAGAAGCCAATCACAGAGATAAGCAAAGAGAGTTAAGGGGAAGCCAAGTAGGAACAGATGGTGAATCCAGGAACCATTATCTACCTCAAAAGGCAGCCTTCAGTATGGAATTTTGAGGGGTAGAAGGCTCCAAGGGGAAAGGAGATGCATCCTTCTACTGGAGTGCAGAGAATCATCAGGAGTGAGCGCAGCCATCATGAGCTCTCTTAGAAAGATGAGCTCCCACAGCCTCAGTTAGCTAGAAGGGAAAGCCAGAACCTGTGCTATTCCCACTGAGGGCATCTAACACTTAGTGTGTCTATATTTAGGGTTGCATGTATCTGTCTTTTTCATCAATCCTAAAGAATCTTTAGTACAAACTCATGCCTGTTTTGCTCCCTACATTTTTCATGTATGCCTTAAAATCCATCTGTTGTAATGTCCTCATTTAACTCGAGAAGAAGCTGAGGCTTGAAGAACAAAGGATGTTCCTGTTATCACACCAGGAAGAGCAGTCCCAATACCAGCCCCTGGTCTCCTGGAGTCCTGCATAAGACTTTCCCATTGTTATCTAACCCATCATTCTGTATTTCTGAGGATCTCTTTAAAAAATCTTCATGGGAGCGCAGAATTTGAGAGCTAATCAAGGCTGTAGAGACTGCTAATATCCCCCAATCTATCTTTCTTATGTCACATAACAATTCTGAGAGCATAAGAACTGAAAAAGGATCCCCATTCCAGTCTTCCTCATTCTGGATGACATTGTATGACTAGGTACTGGTCAATGGGAGGTGAGCAGAAGTGATATAATCAAGTTCTGAGTCATGGGATTCATAGAAGGAGCACAGCCTCCCCTTCCCCTCCTCCTCTTCCATCAGGCTGTAATGCTGATGTGGTTGGGAGCTGTGTAGGAGAATGAGGGTACCTGTCTAAGGTTGGGGAGTTGCAAATTTTGAGGTCCTAATGTATCATCCCTGGAGCCTCCAGCTCAGGTCTAAAATATAGTCATCTCTGGGTATCTACAGGGGATTGGTGTTGGACCCCCGAGCAAACCATACCTGAAGAAGCTCGATTTCTTTTTCTAAAATAATGTAGCATTTTGTATATAACCTATGCACTTTCTACTGTATACTTTAAATCACTTCTAGATTGCTTAATACAATGGGAATGTCGTGTAATACCTAATACAGTGTAAATGCTATGCAAATTGTTGTATTGTATTGTTTAGGGAATAGTGAAAAGAAAAATGTCTGTGTCTGTTTAGTACTGATACAGCTATCCTCCCCTTTTGTGAGAGGAGGGAATGTCTTCCATCTATGGTGGTTGAATCTGCTAATGTGAGGCACACTGATGCAGAAGGCCAGCTGCACATTCTTGTTTAAGATTTTTATTTGTGTTAGAGACCCCAAATTAGAGCAGCCAAACATATACTGTAACAAACAGAAATGTTTTCTCTTTTTAAAATTACATTTCTTTTACTAGGCATATTTGATAAATGCGGATATTTCTCCATACAAGTGACACTAGAGAAATAAGTTGCAAAGAGAAAATATAATAACTCTGATGGAACTTAGATGAGAAATGATTCAATGACATTTAGAGAGAGAAAACCCCAGGGGTATGAGGAGGTTAGGAGGCATGGACAGTAATTTCCATTAGCCTTGAAGATGTTCTTCCATCCTTGTCCACCCTGTTTGGCCTCCCAAGAGGGTGGTGTCTCTGTCTCTTACCCGTGGGATCCTAATTCTGGCTGAATTGAGCCACTGGGAGACACCACGGGGAGACTGAGGGACAGGAGGATAGTGATTGGTATCCCTGACCCCTGGCTCTCTGCTGTGAGGCTGTGTTGGTCACTCACATCTTCTCCACCTGCCTGATTGTCCCCTCCTCCTACTACATCTTCAGCTGTGGCTACGCTCTCAATGGTAACTGCTCCTTCCCTCTCCCTTTGAGGCTGGATTTGGAGCACTGCTTCCCTATTGCTGCTTTCCCTTAATTCTGCCCATTGTAGTCAACAGTCCCCACATGAAACACCTTCAGTTATTTCAGATTGAATCATCAGTGTTTTCCTTGGACATTTCAGATGTGCCAAGAAAAGTTAGGAAAGGAACAAAACCTGTGTTGACTGCAGTTCAGCTCTGGGAAACAGTGCTGCATGTCCCCTTGCTTCTTTTTTTTTTTTTTTTTTTTTTTTTTGAGTTGGAGTCTCACTCTGTCGCCCAGACTGGAGTGCAGTGGCCGCTCCCGGCCACCGCAGCCTCGACCTGCTGGGCTCCGGCGATCCTTCC